GCGCGGGTTGGGAGGAGGGAGTGAAGAGCTGGGGTTAGTGCCTGCTGCTCAGTGTCAGTTGTTGAACCCCCGCCGTGCATGGGGTGCCAGGGCACCCGAGGCTTCACCCTAGTGGGACCCCAGCCCCGCACCACCCACAGCTTGTTTCGTTTAGCAGGCTTTTCCTGAGCTCGCTGGCATGTTGTGCTAGCCACAGATTTGCCTGAGACAGCCCCCTGACTTCAGGGAACGTACTGCACTACCGTAAAGGAACAGTCACAGTGCAGTCCTTCTCCTAGAGCAGCGGTTCTCAACCTGTGGGTCGCGACCCCTTTGGGGGTCGAACAGGGGTCGCCTAAGACCATCGGAAAACACATATATAATTACATACTGTTTTTGTGATTCATCACTATGCTTTCATTATGTTCAATTTGTAACAATGAAAATACATCCTGCAAATCAGATATTGACATGACGATTCATAACAGTAGCAACATTACAGTTATGAAGTAGCAACGAAAATAATTTTATGGCTGGGGGTCACCACAACAGGAGGAACTGTATTAAAGGGTCGCGGCCTTAGGAAGATTGAGAACCACTGTCCTAGAGGAAGAATTGACAGCTGGCTTGAACAGGCCAGGGGCAGCTGAATACACTGAGTTCTAAAAAGACAAGTAGGAGTGTGATGGACCATCATTTCAAGCTAAGGAGTGTGGAAGTGTGATATTTGCTGTAGGCTGAGAGTTGTGGGGTTTGAGGAATCAGGCGTTTCGGGAGATGATAATGGAATGAGGGTGAGCAGGTGCTGACATGTTAATGCAGCGCTAAGGAATTGAGCCTGTATTGGCATGTGGCCTGCTTTGAAGTGTAGTGAAAAGCCAGAGTTGGAAAGAGCCCCTGAGTCCCAGGAGATGGATCAGGAACAGAGGAGAGAGGCTAGTTAGGCCATTATGAGAGTTTTGAGCTCTTGGGATTTGGGTATCTGCCATTTTTCATCCTTGCATTTCCATTGTTTGATCACAGCCTGTCACTTTGCTCCAAAAAAATGGTTGTGCAATGACCTAGTCAGGCTAGGGATTATAAAGGTCTGCATTATACACTGGTAGAAACTGGAAGAGGAAGATGTTTCCAGAGAAAGGGGAGAGTGAGCATTGACAGCCGTCCTTGATGACTAACTGGATGGTGGGGGTGGGTGCAGCCATGTGGAAGGAAGGAAGTGGGGCGGAATGCTGGAAACCTCTTAGTACAGTGGAAGGAGTGGGCATTGTAGAGGTAGTGGCTCTGGGCACTGCTGTGGAATAATTTGGGGACAAATTTGCAGGTATTGAGGAATCAGTGGACATTGTTTTTTGATGCACTGGAGTTATCTATAAGGTGAAATCTTGAGGGATGGCCCACTTCAGGGCTCTAGCCAGAAACCCACCTCCCAACCCCGGGGGAAAGATTCCTTTTTGGGGAGCCTAGAATTTAAGAACAGGAAGAATGAGCTGCAACCAAAGAAAATGGGGAAGGTGGGGGGAGGTCAGACGGCTGGGAGGGCAATTGAAGAGTTTCTGGGTGTCAGGGACTGACTGGATACCTCATAATTCAGCTTCCTTTTGCTTCCAGGGAAACTAGGTTCCTTTTTCTTTCCTTTTTTGCCAGATTGCTGCTTGTGTATTTGTTTTCTATTGCTGCTGTAACAATTTACTACAAATATCCTATATAATAAAAGCCTAATATGCAAATTGTCCCCTCGGGCATTCGATCTGGAGACCAGGAGTTTGACTGCTCGCTATGATGTGTGCTGACCACCAGGGAGTGGCGCAGAACATGGTTGGCGCCAGTGATGCAGTGAGCTGCGACCTCTCGCCAGTTACCTGGGGGCGGGGGTGACAGGGATGGAGGTGCGGTGAGAATTCGGGGTGTCCGCGGAGCTTGCTCTCACTCCCTCAGCTGCCCTCCCCTGGGATGCCAGGGCTGTGTGCTGGGGCACTCAGGTACCTGTATGGCCTCTTTCTGGTGAGCTGGGCTGTAGCTGCAGGGACTGCAGGGGCCTGTCGGGCTCCCCTTGGTTTCGAGCAGGAGCCGGTCTGCGAGGCCAGCTGGGAGAGAGCACACTGCCCGCCCCGGACCCAGAGGCCCATGTTGCACTCCTGATCATGGCGTCCAGCCGCACTCAGCACATCTCCGCATGGGGACTTGGGCACCGTGACTCAGGCTGCACTCAGCGCATCTCCATGTGGGGACTTGGACACCGTGACTCAGGAGGAGGGGGGTGCATGGGGACCCTGGGGCCCAGGTACTGCCCAGGGCCCAGAGGTCAGCTGGGACCTGCCCTTCCACACCAGACGCTCGCGTTTCCATCACCGGCCAGGCCTAGGGACTGCACCCGTGCAGGAATTTCGTGCCTCGGGCCTCCAGTAGTGTCATAAAACAACATAAATTTATCTTATAGTTTCTCTAGATCAGAGTTGTAGGTAGGCTCAGCTGAGTCATCTGTCTGCTTAGGGTCTTACGGGGCTCAAATCAAGATGGTGGCACAGGTGCATTTCTTCCTGAAGGCTTGGGGTAGAATTTGCTTTTAAGCTCATTTGGGTTGTTGAGGAAGTTCAGTTGCATGCAGTTGTCATACTGAGGTGTTCTCATTCCTTGCTGTTAGCCAGGGGTCAGTCTTTGTTCCTCGTGGCTGCCTGCATTCTTTAACTTTTATGTAGCCCCCTCCAGCAAGGGCGGGTTCTTCTGCCACATCCCTCTGACTTTAGCCAGAGAAAATTCTGTACTAAGGACTCAAATAGATTGGGCCCTCTGGGGTAAATCAGGATGATATCCCTATTTTGAAGTCTGTAACCTTAATTGCATCTGGAAAAGTCTCTTCTGCCATATACTGTAGCATATTCACAGGTTCCTGGGACTAGACATGGACATCTTTGGGGAATCCTTCTGCTTACCACTGCTGGCATGAGCAGTTTCAAAGGCTGTCTTCCTACCCTGATGTGGGTGTCCTCAGTTCTCAGATTTGTGTTCTCTCCAGGGTTCACTTTGAAAGTTGTGATTCTTGGTGCCTTGATTTATTGTGTTCACAGGGTTAAAAATGAGGATTTGGGTTAGGATACTTGACATATTGTTAATTATAATTTTTTTTGGTGCTTCTGCTGTTGTTTAAAAGTTGGCCATCTTGGGAAATGCTTTGAACCCAAGTAATTTATAGTTGAGTGAGGGACTAACGAAAGCACAATGAAGAACTGAGAAGTTTCAATGGACGGGGAAGCATCTGTAGCTGGTTCACTGTCTCTGCTCTTGAGTATCTACCAAGAGAACAATGCTTCAGAGCGCGGGCTAAATAGCTCCCAGTGAGAAAAGCCCCAGTGCCCCTGATGGCAACCAGGAAGTGATTGTTGAGACACTGATTTCAGAGTCCTGACCCTTGGCTTTCTACTGCCTCTAGACTAGGAGTGAGTGACCCGAGGGATGAAAGTCCTCAGTCAACCAGCTGCTCAGGAGTCTGGGGCTTTCTCAGCAGCAACAACAACAGCACCTGCCATGGAATGGACGTGCTGTGCCAAGCCCTGTTGCAGGAATTGACATGTTAGCTCAGTGATTCTTCCTGCTTGCCCTTCCAGTGGGTGTACTTACTACTATCATTTTTAAGATGAGGAAACAGGCATAGAAAAGAGGCCACTGCTGCTTGTAAAAGTTATACTCTGCATGTTATACTAGTAAATGAATGCTTGCTGAACTGTAGCAGGACAGGAGAGGCTAACTGCTTTTTAACCTTTGAAAGAGAGGTCCCACCTTTTTGGGGTAGAGTGGCAATGGCAGCTGGAAGTTAACCTGAGCCCAGTGCATTGGAAGAGCTGGCTAGAGAAACCTGCTGCAGGTGGGCCTCCTGTTGGCAATTTTAGCAACTCCCCATTGGGTTGGACTTCAAATAGGGTTGACTGGCCCCTCTGTAACTGGCACAGCACAGTCAGCCCCTACAGATATTTGGTCTCTGCAGCTTCCTTTTGTAGGTGACCCAACCCACCGACCACAGCTGCAGCCCTTACATCTATTTCTGACCGTTTCTGCCATTCCTGATGAGGTGGCTGTGGCTAGTCCAGGACCCATGTTCTGTGATGGGAAGAACTATGACCACATTATTATCTGTCACAAAGGACAAGGGGGGTACCTGCTTTCTTTAAAGCATTCCTCTGGGCAATAATATTGGTTACATACCCAGAAGGTACATTTTAAAAGAAATTCCAGTGACTTTAAAAATTCGAACTGGAAAATTCAAAATCCTAAAACCAAGTAGTATGGTTAAAGACCCTGTGCCCGTG